TTTACTTTATTTAGTATCGAAAACAAGTCGTCCTATCTCACCGACATTAGTTCTTTCATCCTTAAAACCTTATAATGATTATCAATATGTGGACCTGATATCACCATCAGAAATTGATAATGATGATTCAGAATCAACAGAATATCTTAGTAATTATGAATATAGTTTTTTTTTGTAACATATAGATATATCTAAACTAAGAATTAAAATTTAAAGATGAAACACAAATTCCTGATGGTAGTGTTCCATTGACACCTGATCAAGCATCTATTCTTACTCGTTTTCTTTATGAATGTAATGATAATGAAGAACAACAATTACATAGTGTTTTAACAAGCATTGACAATGCATCAACTTTTAAAGAAAGTAAATTTAGTTTTATTTTATAAGGAAAAAAATTGCTTTTTTGTCATTGTAATCTTTAATATTTTCTATAGGTCAAATAAATTTAGCCAATGCTGGTTGTATTACTCGTCTTCGTGAATTGCTTTCAAAAACAGATAATGAAATAACAAAATGTAAAATTTTTTTAGCTCTTAATAATCTCGCTCTAAATGATTTTGCTATTACTCAATTTTCGGTAGGAGTTTATTATGATTCAATTATTTGTGTTTATTTGTTTTTTTTAATTTAAATTTATCTTATTCTTGTAGAGTATTGTTTCTATTGTAATTAAGTTATGTCGTACAAGTCCATCAAATTCACTTGTTCGTCTTAATGGACTTACTTTACTTATCAATATGAGTGTTCTTTCGTATCTTCATGAAGAATATATGAGTAATATATATGAGCTTGGTTTATTAATTGAATCAACCATTAAACATGATGATGAAGCATTATCATCAGGAAAAATTCTTGTTAATTTGTCAACAAATAAATTAAATCTTGAAAGTTTACTAAAAATAACAGTAAAAAAAACTGATTTTGTTTTTCAAAATAATAGTTTCTTGTGTTCTGTTTTTGTTTAAGGGTGTGGAACTTAAACCAATAATGAATTTTTTTACATCAAAAATAGATCAATCACCTAAGTCAGAGCAGATTCTTCTTCGTTTTCTTTCATTCTATTGTAATTTGGCTGATATGATTATTAATGAATTGAAAGAAGGCGGAGATACGAATAATAACAATAATTCATGGCTATTCGATCCAGCACCCCAACGACAAGGCGCACTTTATTTTGAATTTCTCAGTCCTGTATGGAATTAATTGAAATTTTCTCTCCTGTCATAAAATTTTTTTTTTTTGTTCTTTTAGGATAAACAAATGTTAGCTAAGTCTCTTCTACGTCCACAATCTACATCGACACAAGTAAATTCTCAAATGAAACGTCTTTATCAATTAATGGATAAAATCCGTCAGAGTCATATGGAATTATCGGTTTCGTCCAGTAAAAATGATCAATCAACTGTAAAACATAATGAAAATTTGCTAGATACTTCAATAGATGATAAAAATACGACTCTTGCTCCCGAATCTTCATCATTTGATCAATCATAAGCTAGTTAGCGTCCAATTTATACAATTTAATTCTTTGTTTTTCGTTTTCATCCTTCAATATGATCCATTTATTATTTCCTTCCATAACCAAAGCACAAAATCTTTTGTTCTGGTTTTTTTTTTGATAATATTTTCCGATACTTTGTTTTTTTTCTTGTAGATCTTTTCTTTTTCTTCATATTTATAACATTCGGCCGTTATAATGGGTGTTGATCTCGACCATCGTTTTGATCGCAAGGCAGTACGTCGAGCTCCACGTTCAAAAAATTTATATTTACTCTTACTTGTTAAACTCTATCGGTTTTTGGCACGTCGTACAGGTTCAAAATTTAATAAAATTTTATTAAAACGTTTATTTATGTCGAATACAAATCGACCACCACTTTCATTATCACGTCTTGTTCGACATATGAAAAAGAAAGGTATTTTTTTAATTTAATAAATTAAATTATAATTGAATGAAAGCGTTGTTTTTTTTTTCTCTAAATATCTTTTAAAGGTCGTGAAAATAAAACAGCCGTTGTTGTCGGTTCGATTACTGATGATGTAAGACTTTATGAAGTACCTAAATTAACAGTCTGTGCTTTACATCTTACAGAACGTGCTCGAGCAAGAATTCTTGCAGCTGGTGGTGAAATTTTAACATTCGATCAATTAGCACTTCGTTCACCAAAGGGTAAAAATACAGTCTTATTACAAGGTCCAAGAAAAGCGCGCAAAGCTAATCGATACTTCGGTATGTTTATGAATTTTATTTATTGTTTCTCTTGTGGAAAATCTATTTTTGGTTTTTGTATTTCAGGTCGACCACCTGGTGCTCGTCATAGTTCGACAAGACCTAAAGTTCGTTCGAAAGGTCGTAAATTCGAAAAAGCTCGTGGCCGACGAGCTAGCCGTGCTTACAAGAACTAAGCAATTAAAAACTGGTACTATTATCATCTTTACCATTTTTTTGTAGTCCATCATTACTTTGTTTTTCTTCTCGTGTAATACAACATAAGAGCATGAAAAAAAAGAATAAAAGAAAAAAATCCGTTCTTTGACCACACACACACATTCAAAATATAATGATACATCTTATTTATACATCGATCTTACATTCAATTAGTATAATTGAGTAAAATTAATAAGGCATATTTTCAATGATATTAAATTAATCCATATGAAAATTTTTGTTTTACTTAAAAAATACTCAAGTTTCACAGTAAAAGTTCTGATAATAGCATTAATTCAAAACACAGATATAAAGAGATGTAAATTTTCGAAATAGTTCACATAATTATTTATATAAATTTCTATTCTTTCTAAAAATTTATCGAACGTTTTTTTTTAAACCCCTCGAATATTTTTAATTATTCTGGACATCAAATGAACCAATGATTTTTCATTTGTTTGTTTACTTAAATTACACTTAATATAATCATTTAACCAAAAATCGCATGTTGCCAGATCTAGTAATAAACAGCCGATGTGTATGATATTAATGCTTTCTTGTATTTAAATAGTCAATAACATTTAGATGAGAATTGAGTCCAGTACTGTCACAAAATAATTTCATAAATTTTGCACCTAATGACTTCTTTTTATTTGCATACTTTATTGACAATATGCTTGAAGCAATTTTGAATATAATATTTGTGATTGGTTGTCTTGCATTTATTTACGCTATGTATAAAAATAGAGCCAAAGAATATAGAAAACAAACTTTTTAATACAAAACTACTTTGGTGATCAATAGTTGTTGATGATTCATCTTCATTAATCCAGCTTTTGTTAACTAACCTGTGCTTAACTTTTCAACGATAAATCGATGTTTTATCATCTATAATAAAATTACGCGATTGTCATGATCCACTACAAGTCGCCCTCAAATTCTAACTTGTTCTTGTCTTTATTCATCATTTAGCTGATAAGACATCTAACATGATTGTAACGTTTCTCATTTGTAGATGATCTCGGATAATTCGATCGATTGTATCATGAGAGAGATTTGCTTATTGTCATATACTGATTTCTACACGTTATCACTCTTGATAATAAGACTTGCGAAAACCAATACACTTGTATCAAATAAAAAGCTATTCATTTATGGAATCAAGACATTTTCATTCTGCTATCATAAAACTACTTCTGCTTAGTTTTCAACATGATACGTTCAAATTTCTAAAATTACTAATCGCAGTTTTATTGAACTACTCTGTTATTTGATTTTTTTGCGCAACAGTTTCTAGTGAATGTCCATCGATTTATCAAATGATCAATAAATATCATTCCTTTTGTGCTAAAAAACTATCTCTCTCTAGTTTACTTCCAACAACCAAAGAAATTCAGCTTATCTTAGAAGTTCATAATCAAGAATGATCTAATGTGAATGATTAATATATGCAAAAAATGGTACTCTGAAAAGATACGGTTGACTAAAAAGAATAAATATAATTTTTCATTAATAGTATTGGAATACACATTTAACAGAAACTGCTCAACGTTATGGTATAATTTAAATAAAGTGTTTGACAAAGAGATAAAGAATATTTTTCTAGCTGATCATTGTAATTTTGATCATGACAAACTTATTCAACGACAAGTGCCTCATATTCCACTTCCAACTGGTCAAAATCTTGATATATTTTCTAAAATTATTTTATTATTTTTCATTCATTTATCTAGCTATGAGTTTAAAAACTTGGGCTTTAGCAATTCAAGGTCGGGCACATGAAAAAAAGACTTCGCCTGTGGCAGCAATATAGAACATGCTGATGTTGGACATTACACACAAGTACATTACAACCATGTGATGTTTCTATAGTTTTATCTTGAATAGATGGTGAAACATACAGCAGCACTTATTGGATGTGGTCTAGCTATTTGTCCTAAGGACAAAGTTGATTCACATAATGATTGACCACATTATGTATGCAGTGAGCATTGACTTAACATCATATTGTAGCCGTTTAAAGTTTCATCGTGAATCTCAAAGCTTCACGTACGAGGAAAATCTTCTAACTTTTCAATCGATTTCGGCTTCAGACTATGTGCGTTAATGTCCTGGAAAGAGCTCGTGTCTTAAGTTTATTACTATGCAGATACTACAGCATTGTATAAATAAATGCCGTGATCTACCTAAGAACAGCAGAAATGCTGATTTTCGATCTTGGACTTGAAATTTTGTACCGATGTATGTGAGCGACGTAACAGAACATACTATTATCATAGTCTTATTTTAGGATAGGAAAAACGAAAAGATCTGAAATGTTCATAAGAAACTATTTTCGTTAAGACTTGTCTCTATGTAAAGTTTCAAACTTGAAATTCAAGAATAGTCACGTCTGAACTTTAATATAATTTGAGTATTTTTTTTCTTCCTTATTTAGATTACGTGACTGGGTGTGTCAACAATTTTTATTTTAGAATATATGCCTTTATTTCATGAACAAATTGGCAATTAAGTGATAATAAATCATATGTAATTGCTAGTCCTTCCGAATCGAATAACAAACGATTACATGGTTCATTTTTTTATAGAATTATTTTTATTCAGACAAGTTCCTAGTTATATTTTAGATTGTCATGGTTTAGTATGCCTTTACAATGAAATTATTGATCTCGATTCATATAAATGTCAATGTGAATCTTATGCAACAAGTAAACAATGTGAAAATCTTGATTGTACATTATTATCTGATGATTGTAAATATGGAAATGATAAATCATTATGTACACAATATTCAAATATTTCTAATGAATGTCCTAAATTTTGTGGTTTATGTTCTCGATATGATGAAATGAAAAAATATTATGATTCACTCGAGATATTATCAAATATTGGAATTCAAACGATAGAAAGCACTCAATCTGTTATATCATTTAGAAATATGTCTTTTCATTTAGTTTTTATTTAATTAATCATAGTACGTTTTGTACTGTCGTTGATTAAATAATAAAATACATGTATATACATAAAAAGCAAAAAAAATGTCACTGGGTTTAATCATCATCGTCTACGCCAGATTCTCCTTCTCGATGTCGTAAACGATAGATTGATGTTAACATACGAAGCATAAAGGTAGCCGGAACTGTTACTGTGCTTGATGTTTCTTTAATCATTTTATGATTAAGTTCCACAGTACGCTCAATACGATCAGTATCATCAATTGGTGTTTCAGCCAAAGGTGAAAATATTTTTATATTACTAAAAAACAAAAATTATTATTGTAGAAGTGATCAAATAGATTAATCATTTTTTAATTAAAGTTCTTTGTCGAATTACTTCTATTGAGTAATAAGACACACTCAATGTGAATAGAATCAGAACAGTTTTAGATATTTCTAAGATTAAAATTTAGAATATTCAATAAGAAAAGAATCTAAAAGGATAATCTATACTTGACTACTATATCTTGTAAATTGTGTACTATTGGTAATCTCTATCTTTACTTCATCAAAAAATTTGATTTGATTTTTATATCAGTTTAAACCGAAACATATTTACTGATCATTGTAATCATTTTATACTTCGAATAATACGACTCATTTAGGATATAAAGCGAAACCAATAAGTTTTCGTAAATGTTGTTGAGCCTGAAAAGGTTTGATATAAAAACATTTTTCTTTTAGAGTTTATCTTGTGGTAAACTCAATAGTTCGGTATCTTTTCCACAACTAATACTAGCGGTAGATCTGGACAGAAGGCGACCTGATACACAGTTGTTGTGCTCAGTTGCTTGAGCTTTTCATATACTATAACTAACCACAAGAGCTGATGAATATCATAATGCAGTTCCTATTGAGATCTGTCTCTATGCAAAGTTTCAACTCGAAATCCGAAAATCACTTTTTTTTTTGTAACCACAACATTTATTTTAAAAGTGATGTAACAGTGTACGAACTCTTTTTAGAGTATTCATAGTTTATTTGAATCTACATAGTATTACACAAAAACTTACTAATCAATTCCACTTGATGCTAAAATAGGATAATTAAGTGGATGAGGTTGTACGCAATTAACAACATGTTCATCAGCTTGTATAACTCGTATGATGTTTCCATTAAATTTATTCCAAATAAAAATATGCCTATTAGAAAAAAAATTTTTCATAATAATCATTCACTCTAAAATATCAAGATTTTACCCGCAATCAGAACCGGACATAACATAACTATCCGACCAAAAATTAGCTTCTTTTATCATAGTACGTGTATTACGATGACCATCATAAGAATTAATTAAACCTAAACTAGGAATATTTTTTAGAAGATTTTCTTCATGAGCACGTTCAGCTTCACGACGTTTTTTCATACGCTCCCATTTTGTTCCAACAAATCTACGACGTATATTTCCTGATGAATGAGCATTGCCTGCTGTTGCTGATGGCGCTTGAGAATCCTCCTAAATAGTTCATTAAATGATCAACTGCAAATTAAAAAAAAACTCACATCATCATCATCATCATCATCCATATTGTTTGCATCATCATCGTCGTCATCATTCTCTTCTTCCTCGGTACGAAACCTTGGACTTCCACCAAATATAAGATCAAATATACCAATATGCTAATAACAAATAAAACAAATATGAATTAAATGGAATATTTTTTGTATAAAACTAACATTAGATTCATTGTCATCTTCATCATCATTATTTGTTGTTGAATTTTGAATAGGTGTAGGTGAGGGTGATGATTGTACCATAGGACTATTCGTTGTCGGAGATGATGATGCAATATTAGTATTATTATCATTTGTTTCATTTGATTGAGCATTATTTGGAGTATCTGTTGTTGTTGGTGTTGTTGTTTCTGTTTCTTCATTTGTTTGCTCAGTTTCTGATGTAGTACGTGTAACTAATTGTGTTAAAATATCACTCATACGTCGCATAAAAAAATTTTGTAGATCACGACCAGGCGTTGTTGTTGATTGTTGTTCATTTGATGATTCTGTTGGATTAATTGTTGGTTCCGTTTGTTCTTCTTCATTGAGTGGTCGAGAATCTGGACCTAAAAATCAAAAGACATCTTAATAGAAAATTTTTCATTAAAAACATACCAGTATCACTCCAATCACCTCGAAGACGTAATCGTTTTATATTTGAATTTTTATTTTCATCATTTTGTATGTTATTTGATGTTGGTTTATTTTCTTTCATGTTTATTTTTGTTCGTTTTTGATTTCGATGTTCAACAAGTCGTTCTTGCATTTGTTCTTGTGTTGTTAATTGTTTTGGATTAAGTAAATAAACTGAATCAGATGAATAAGATGCTAAAATTTCTGTACCATGTTGATTAAATACGACTGATGTTATACGAGATCGACGTTGTTCTTTTTTGTCAGAAAGTATAAAATATGATATAAGACCATTTATTGATGATTCATATCGACGAGATGATGATACTTGAGTAGAAAGTTTTCGATGATCATATAGACGAATTGACTAAAAATGAAAGATTAAATGTGAAAAACTAACGAATTCTATATTCTATTGTATATTAAAAATATGATTTATAGTTAGGTTTAATGAATTCAAGTGTCGTAAATAGAGAAACTTGCTCTTCGCTAACGGCTTGGTGAAGGTCCTGTAAATTTTCATCGATCGTCGTAGTATACTATAAATTCGAGATAGGATCAGTTCATGTTTTTTTTTGAAACTAAACCGATCCCATCTCTGATATGAAGGTAGCATGTAACATATGATACCACGATCTTATAGAAAATATCAAACTTTGTTATACCATCTTGTCGACTTGTAAATCAAGAAAATTATTTTTCTATGAAAAAGAGTAATGCTTAAACTACCAATTTTGTACAAGGTCTTGATTTAAACGTCGACAATATGGTATAACATACTTGACATTTTTTAAAGCTTGTTGCATCGCATATTATGTAAGAACTATGCCAAATACTATGAAAATTTATCTTCATGTTTTCACTCATAGGTGTATTTAAAATGAATCTCTGCAAGTTACCTACATATTGTCAAAATTCTTACTAGTGAACTTTCGATAGTCAAGTAAATTTTACTAATTATTTTAGGTAAGATTTGTTCTTCGTTGATAAAAATTTTTATTTGTAATTAACAATCTTTGTAAAAAAAATATGAATGCATTATCGATGAGGCCAGTCATCATGATCATTTAAACATAGTTTACTATGATGATGTATCGGTTTTAGAAACAGACTTTTTCGCTCTTTTCGAATATATGTTCAGATTAACTTTCTGAGGTAAGATTGAACAACTCTAAGTAAGTTTTGTGAAAAAAGTCCACCAATGTATCTGTAGAATGCAAAATAGTAGTTTTGGTATACTTCTTAGCTTTTGAATTCTGTAGAAAATAACATATTACAATAAGCGACGTCTCTTTCTCCTAAAGAACTAGTTGTTGTAGAAATTGGCAATCATTGTTTCAAAAACTGCTTTTAAAAATACAAAAGTTTTATAATCTGTCGTACAAAAATAAATAGCACGTCTTGTATACGAAACTTTGTTCTGTAAAGCTGAGTCATTACAAAACTATTTCACGTTTCGTAATTGACAGGTTTGAATCTAAATACTATTCTGTAACGTACTATGAAACAATCTGATGATAGCTGTCTAGTATAACCCTATAGGGAAATTCTGAACAAATTTTTGGAAAGAGAAAAAAAGTTTGACTCTAACAATTTGTCTTTAAATGACTGGGAAATAAGCGAATCATTTTTTTTTACCGACATATTCTCACCATAGGTTATTTCACAATTAAAAGTAATTTGAACTTTCGCATTTCTGTTTTCTTACAAATCATAATCGATCATGCTCTTGTTATCTCTTATTATTCAATGATTTTATATTAATTCCATAATATTTTATTCAGTAGTAAAAAACAAAGGATTAAATATAATATATTTTGTATTTAACTTACAGAATCTGCACAAGCACAAACAATTTCATTTGGATTCATTGGATTAATATCCATTGATGTAATACCCCAATTACTTTTTATAAGTATATCATCATTACATTGATCTTTTAAACAATTACTTTTTGTTCTTAAATCATATAATCGTATAGTACAATCATCTAAATTAAATATGAAGAAAATAAGTTTTATTCGTAAAAGACCTTTGTGTTTTAATAACATACCAGCACATGATAGAAATAAATTCGGTGTATGTGGAATAATTCTTACTTCATATGCAGTTGTTGATCCATGACAAGTAAAACATCCTTCAACTGAATGTGAAGTATTTGGTCGATCAAAATTAGTATGATATACAACACCATCGCCTGAACATGAAACAACTCGTCGATCATTTGTTTCTGGTAAAAATTTTGCTGAAAATATATTTTCTCTATGTCCACTATGAACTTTAGTTAATACTTGTCTTGTAAATGGATCTGTGACAATTAAATTTTGATCATCTGAACCTGATAATATTGTTGTACCAAGTTCATTCCACCATATTGTATTTACACAACCTCGATGAACATTTAATGTATTATCAAGATTTAATCGTCTTGTTATGGATGATGAATTTTTTAATTTAACTAGAAGACGTCGATGAGAAAGAAGACCGTATTGACGATCAGATAAATATGACATCTGAAAGAAAAACACAACAAACTGATGAAGAAGATCGGAAATCATTAAACTAAAAATTTGTATTTGAATTTTAGCAAGCAATTATCTGTAAACGTCTTCCAATCATTAAATATGAAAATATATGCTATTTATGTTGTTTTTTTGTATAGAACTAAATCAATTTTACTGAAAGACATTTTTAGACAAGAAGCAAACAATAAAATAAAAATCATTTTAAGCTCATTTATCAATAGGCAATTCTTATTGGATAATATTTTTAGATAGGGCTGATTATTATTTGAAATTTATAACAAAGAAAACTTGATAACATAACCGGACATTGGCCT